TTCCAATCATGAAAGACAGGAAACAAAGGAGCTGCATTAAATTCAGGAAGTAGTGGAGCTGTGCATAGAGCCTATTGGGATGAACTTCAGTATAAAAATGCCTTGATTCTCCTCACACTTTCACTATGGAATAAAGATTTAAGGTTGAATCTATTACCACAAAGAAACTACAACATGGATTTTATAACTCATCCTAATGAACAACTCACAGCGTGATTAATTGTATAAACTACAAATAAAACCTGCCCAGAGTTTGTTACATTTGTGGAATGTCATGCGCATCTCTAAACAATAGGCTTAAGAAAGGAAAAACAGCAACAGTGGGAAAAAAAAGCTAAGCTGAGCCAAAAGTAACAAGTAACTAGCAGCTTCCTAGAAATGTAGAGGAAGAGAAAGTACAATATTTGGCTTTGAAATGTAGTGGAGTGAAAGTTATAAGTATCTCCCCAAAAAATACTCAAGTAAAGATACTAAAAACAAGTACTTAAATACAGTAATCAAGTTGATTTACTTTGTTACCACATTGTCTAGCCCTAAATAACGAATCAAAAACATTGCAAGACAGTGTCCCCTGAAGAACCATCCATTTATTCTGATGTGTGGCAGAAAGGAGACACTTAAAACAGACAGAGGCGGCAATACTTCAGACTGGGGAAGGTTGTTTCTGCAACAGTGATGAAAAGCATGTTTGCTCCTCAGGTAACTGTCCTCTCCCCATTCCTCTTCACAGGTTATACATCGAACTTTGCCTTTTTGACACCTATATGCCATATTCAGAAATACTCTGATGATACAGCTATAGTGGCCTGGTTGAAGGGTGGGGACGATTTAAACGAATCGGAGTACAGAGCTGTGTTCAATGAGTTCCTACAGTTGAGCAAAGGCAATGGACTGGTGCTAAACACCAGAAAAACAAAGGAAATGACTGTGGACTTTAGCAAGAGAAGAGCTCAACATCGACCCGTCATCACGGACGGTGTGGAAATCGAGGTGGTCTCCACATATAAGTACCTCAGAATCCACCTAAGAAAATGGGCTCTACTTCCTCAGACAACTTGGGTTACTTGCTGTGTGTAGGGACATGCATATTATCAGTCAGTTGCGGCCAGTGCTGTTCTGTTTGGGGTTTGTTTGCTTGGGAAACAGCATAAATAGCAGGGACAGTAGCAGAATAGACAAGTTCATCAGGAGGTGTGTGGAAGGGATGGGGAGGGAGGCAGTCCCTATGGAGGAACTGGTGAAAGAAAGGACTAGGGCACTGATTAAGTCCTTAGGAACTAATGGGAGCCATCCATTGCACAGTACTATGGTGGCTCAGGAAAGCAGCCATAGTTGTAGCAGAACAAGGAGATACATAAGATCTTTTGTCCTGGCCGCCATTAGACAACTTAATGCCTCTTAAAGGACTGAGTTAATTATTATTATTATTTTATTTAATTGTGTTTTGTTTTTCATCCTATTTTATCCAATGTTTTTATCTTGCTATCGCGCTGGGGAATTTCCCCTATTGGGCATTAATAGAGTATTTATCCATCCATCCATCTATGGACTTTGTATATATGGTAAAATAAATAAATAATAAAAATACATGCAGAAACTGCTGTTTAAAGTCAGCAATGCCATACAGACTTAATGCCAATACCACGACTGAAGAATGTCTACAATGTCAAATCTAAATTAGATTTACCCTCTGAAAATATATTTCCCCCTTAAAGCAAGACATAAGATACAAATTTAAAAAGCTAATATAGTTTTCAAAAAGAAACTTAAAGTGGGTAAAATGCTAGATTAGAGATGGAGATTAGATTAGAAAACAACCAGCATTGATTTATCATCTTATTGCTCCAAATTCCAATTAAATCAAGCATCCTGCCGTAGCACCTGAACACAACATTATGAGTCCTCCTCCAGCATGAGGTAGAACATGGTTCCCACATAATAGTCATGAAAAGATACATACTCGAATTGGAATATTTTTTTTCCATATTCAGACCTGAAAAACTTTTGAAAAGACCCACCCTCTCCACTTAAAAAAAAATAAATAAATAAAAATGCTCATGCACAACCCTGTACCTGCTCCAGAGAGGGGACGTCTATCAAACGCATGCTGCTGTTTGCATCGCTCATACAAGCTTACTTTCCAAAAGAAGATTTGCACTGTCAGACTCACTGTCAGTGAAAATGGGGACGAGCATGTAGGCTGGCTTTACGTAAACATATCACCAGAATGATTGACAATAAGAAGGACCACTTATTTTGATGATCCACCCAGAAAAAAGAACATCCTCCACTGTAAGCAGATTGTTTATGAACCTCATTATGGGTTTTCAGGATTAATGGTCTAATGTGAAATATTTTGTGTGTGTCCACAAGACCAAAGTGCTGATGTTCAAAGTGATAATGGATGAAAGTCACAGATTTACCTTGTATCTTGGAGCTAATTTCATCAATTCTCTCAAAGCCACATCTGTTCCTACCACACCCAGCAAAATCCCATGAGACAGCTGGAGAGAGCAAGAGAACAAGTCCAATGCAATTATTTATACTAATCATTTGACCTGCATTTATACAACTTTCTACAAAAATCTAGAGCCTACATTTAAAACATTATCTGTAATCATTTATATTTTAATTGATCCTGCTTAAATGTGCAATCCAGACAAAAGGAGAAATATATTCATGTATCAATAAATACACAAAAACACACATTAAGCTGATAAACATCAACTTACGGTCTCTTCTTTCATGCTGAAAACAGGCATGGCCACTGATGTCATCAGGAGCAAACTCTGTGCCTGAGTGTTGAACAGCTGCAGCACAAAGACAATATTCTAACTTTTTTCAGTTTAAAAGTTGATGCTTTGGTACATTCATCAAACTAATAACCAAGTGGACAAAGCAGATGTGAGGAAAAACAACAAACAATGAAAATGAAAATACTGTACATCAATATAAAGTTGATGGAAATTAAAAGGGAATAATGGGTGTTTTAAAGGGGTGCTTATTTTCTTGCCGTTTTCAGATTTGGGAGACAAAATACGCTTACATATTATATATTTATATACACCAAAGAATACTAATGTTTAGCAGACTATAAGGTCCATTTCTAAAAGATAAATTAGTCTGGAGTAATGGCTAACTTTAGTTCAGGAAAACAACGTTTGAGCACAACAGAAACCCTACAGGTAAAGAAACTATGTCTAAAAGTTATTTGGGAGCAAATTCTAAGCAAGACATTACCATGACTAAATTGTTCACTCGGGATAAACTAAGATGATAAGATGCAGCTAAAGGTCTAACTATGATTACCTCATCTTTATTGGGAAGCTGAAGGTGATGGTGGATAAGAGGAGAACAAAAACAATAAAGAAATGCATGACCATGAAAACAATGAATGAAAAGAGGAAAAAGTGAGGAGGAAATGGGAAACAGAAATATGGCTGCAACTGAAAACAAATGATACACATTAATATAAACATAGAGAGAAAGATCTAACCTTCATTCTAACTCTATAATGATCTTCTAACTTCGATTTGTAAACTCCAACCAGTTACAAGCTAAACAAGCTAAAAAAAAAAAAAAGTATTTCTGAAAGGAGATATTTATTTGAGAACTTAGAAATCTCCAAACCCAAAGCAATAGATAACCATAAAGAATATTGTTCCATTTAATCTATTTAATCTGTGGATAAATTTAATCAAACCCCAAAATCTATCCGGTTTTAAATGCTTCACATGCACAACCTTCAGTGTGTGACGAGAGAATGACTGGTGGGTGCCAAATAGCTTTTAATCAGATTTTCTGCTACTCAGGTGATGTGGACAGAGAAACACAGAAATAAAACAACATATAGCATAAAACTCCAGTGATGGATTTTAGATGTTTTTGTACCAAAAAATGTTAGTATTTAAAAACATAAAATATTTAATGTCCATGTTTGATGACTAGTTTGTGAGCAGGAAGAAAACTGACCACACTGTCCATGTAGGCCTCTGTCCAGATGATATCATGGTCATGGTTGATAACCATTGGTCGACTGAGAACATGGAGGTATTCCATAACATTTTCCTGAACATCAGCTAGTGTGGACACGTGTGTGTAATAACCTGCAGAATAAACACATTCATACAGATATCATATGTCTGGAAATGATAATAAAGCTATAACAGATCATAAAATCTATTCCGCGTGCTGCCTGCAGGGAAGAGAATCCAATCTTTAGTTT